TGAAATAGTGAGGCGAAACTAGGAATGTATACTGCTTCTTACTCATACTAGTACAAGTGACCAACTTTCTCGGTTAGTGAATGAGACAATATTGAAGGGGTGGTAATGGAGTCCGCTCCTCGTAGGAGCAGCTGGGGCGTCACGCAGCGCCTAAAGAGATGCGGTTGATTGCCGGGCAATTTAGGCACCTGTTTCAGGTGACTAAACCCTCAAGGATGTGCAAGAGAAGGGTAGTCAAAGTAGAAACAAAGCTTACTAATCGACACAAACGCCGGGCAAGGGAGTTAGCTGTTGGAGGACGAAAACCTTCCAAATAGTACCTTCAAGTTAAAAAGTAAAGCAAAGCAAAATCAAAGCACTTTTTGCTCTTCCGCTGTAATGTACAAGGCCCAGAAGATCTCGTGATAACTAATTTGACTCTTGTTGGTTGTTTGCAATCTAGCTGTTCATCACGACCACGGATTTCTTGATTTTTCTTTCGTGAACAACTCACCCACTACAAACAACAAAGCCTTAGGCGACATTTTAGTCCCTGGAAAGAGGAGAGTGATTCTGCTGCATTCTGTTCCACATAGTCTTCGGTTTATGCTTTTGACCTGTCACTCCATCTGTACACTTGTAGGCGCATGTTATTCCACCACTGCTTTGGGTGTTTACTGATTTGGTTAAAATATCAGGTGGGAAGACACATTCCCCTTTGGCATGGACGATCAGAACCAACCGAATAAGACCGAAGACGTATTCACCAATGCAAGAGGAGGAGGCGCGTGTCGAGGAGAGAAGCACTTCTGCCACCCCACCTGCACGCTAGTAAGCAGGGTGCTCTCCCTTCACCACCACCTAAGGTGGTTGAACTTCTGGCAACAATCTCCGTCGGCGGCAGTAAAGACCATCCAACTGAGGTGTTAATGTCGTCAGGGGTTGTGTTTATTTGCATCAGGCTTAGTGTGCGTGCAAGGCGAACGGCGCCAAACGCGGTAATAAAATTGGGACGGTGGGGAGGGCGTGCGGCAGCGGGGAGAGAGTGGATAGCACTCACTTCGTTTTATGTTTGCGTTAGAGGAAATAGGCACAAATAATTCGTTCCTTATTTTCTGCTCTTTCCATTAGAGCAGCGTTAACTCTAGCATCAACTGTTGCCTTGAAGGATCTTTTACTTATCTGCACAGGAGTTTCGATTGACTTCCAAAAGTTTACACCTGCATTTTTGCATTTTATGTCCAAATTCAATCATCCCAATAATTATTGAGGGCATAACTAAAAGGCAAATTTGTATTTTTAGAGTTAAGAGGTAAAGATGTACTGATTGTCAGGATCAAAATTCGCAATAAATTAGAGCCTCTTCAAGAAACAAATGATAGAATGCAACCGTAGTTACTAAATTTACAATGATTTGCCTTTCAATTT